GAGAAGAAAAATGGGATGTGTTTGATTCGTCATTTTATGGTAATCTTCCAATTCATTTTTGGTTTTGTTTAAAAAGTACATATATGAGTTGTACACTGGTATGTCTTGAGGAATGTCTTTTCATGGCTTTTGAAAAAGGTATGGTTTTGAAGACGGTTTAAAAGAAGGAAAAATGGAATTGGGGGAAAAAAAAAGAGATTTTATCCATAATTTTTTTTTAGCTGCATATTTTTTTTTTCAGCTTCTACCAGTTTTTTAATTTGAGTTTTATGTTATTATTATTTTTTTTTTTTTTTGCTGAAATTTGACCATATTCAGTTGCCATCGCTGTTATTGATGATCTATGATGTGCTTTAAACTAGCACTAAATTAAGGAGAGATCGTTAAAAATTGTTAGCAAACTTTAGCAGTGTTTGAGAATGGAGTAAGGCAGCAAATGTTGTTGATGATGTTTTTTAATTCAGTTTTATCAGCTGTATAATATAAATGGTATCAACTATTTGACAGTTACAGCTCAGTATTTAAGTCAATGTTTTTTTCCTTTTAGATAGTGTTGATTTTGAAAAAAAAAAAAAGGTTTTTTTTCTTTGCTTATTTCAATAGTTTTTTTTTTCAGTAACAATTTTTATTGATCTCAGTAAGTGGTGATAAAATTTCCAAAAATTTTCTGTCACGTACTGGATTAATGGTGTGCTATTTTTAACCGTATAGTCAACCGAACAGCTATTCTTCTGTTGCTATTGCTGTGGACAACAAATTGAACTGTTTTTATTGATTCTCTTAGGAGAAGACGATGGGGATAGGAGGAGTGAAAGGAGATGATGGGGAAGAAGGGAGGGGGGGGGAAGGAGTAAGGAGAGGGGAAGCAAAACAGACGGAGTGAAAAGGAGAGGAGAGAGGAGTTGAAGGGAAGATGGTTTTTTCTCTTTTAATGATAGCAGTTATATTATTTTGAGCAATAATAACAATTATTATTATACTAACATTTAGCACTAATAATAATAATAATAACATTATTTAGTTTTGTTGTTGTTACGAATGGAATTTGCAACAATTTTTTTGCTTTCATTTTTACAGTGGACATTCAACTGACTCAGACGACACACTTTGATACCGTTTTTTAAAATACTTTCGAAACTGTTCTTTTTTACATTTTTCTGTTCTTACCATTTTTATTGGTGATAATATTAGTATTAATATCATTATTTTGTTCTTTAGCATTCAAGATCATTATTCTTTTTTTTTCTGTTATGTTGCATTCCCTTTTTCATTACTTTTTTTTTTTTTTTTGTAATTAAAATATGAAATTTTTATTATTGTTGTAAATATTAGTATAACATTTTTTTTCTGTCATTCATTTGCTTTTTCTCCTCAATTTTTTTTTTCCTTAAATTTTCTACCATTCTGCACTGCCCTTTCTCCTACAGCCCCCACCCGTATCCGCTTTGCTCTCTACAGTTTTACTTCCCTTCTTTGAAAGATGGACAAATATATTTTGGAAAAAATAAAAAAACATATTTTTTTTTCTTATTTTACTTAAATCTTTTCCTTTTTTTTTTTTTTTTTTTCACATGAAATAGTTTATTTGTGGTTAAATTTTCGTTTTACTGCACTGCAGTCCCATTGTATTCCGTTTCTTTTTTTTTTTTTTCGTTTTTCTCTTACACTTTTGCTTTTTGATTGGTTAAAACATTTTACTGGCTTTTTCCAGTCATTTTTTTTCTCGGCTCAATATTTGTACAGCAAAGAGGAAAAGCAAGAAGGAAAGGAGTGGGAGGAGAAGGGGAAAAAAAAAGAGGCAGTAGAGGAAGAGGCTAACAAGGAGAAAAACACTGGGAAGAAAATGTTGTTTTTTGAATTTTTGAAATAGCAGATCTGTTGACTTGAAAATGAGAAGGAGAAAGAAAAAAAAAAGTAGTTCTTTTTTACGTTGTTGTTGAATTTAATTTATTTTCAAGTTTTTTATTTTAATTTTTTTTTTCCTTCTTTTTCAGCAGCTCTATTTCTTACAGTTTAAAAAAAAAAGAGATAGACGACAGGAAAAGAGAAGAAAAGGAAGAAGCATAGGAGGTGGGGAGAAGGAAAGCAGTAGCCAGTTTACCTTACTGTATTGATGTATTTTTATGTAAATGCATTATGTATCAACAATATGTATCATTATTTCAGCTGTGTATAGGAAAGTCGAGCAGAACAGCATTTAGTGCGGTAGCTATTTGTGAAGTTGGTTAATCCGGAGAAGGGGGGACTTTTGGTTGAAGGCTGGGTGAACTGGAATTTTTAAGGGTTGAAAATGTTCAATAAACGAAATTGATCTTCACCCACTATCTTCGCACTGTGTTCACCGGTTCTAAGAGTGGAGTTGAAATTGTATCATCTGTTTTCTTCATCGTTTATCATCTGTTATTTTAGTGTTTGCTGTTGTTGCTGCCGTTGAACTATGTGTATTAACTGCATTTTGAACATTGCTATTACTTATCTGTTTTTTTTGGTTTGGACAGTTTAGTCAAAAAAAAGGATTAAAATAAGGCAACAAACAGTGCACAGTAATGGGTGATGTAAAATTGTCGTATAATGTTGGCAGAATGCCAAAATTCGGAGTTTTTTTCGGAATTATATTCGAAAAGTTTCTTTTCAAAAAATTCCCATTTTTTTTATTTTTATGTCATTTTATACTTGCTTCTTTTTTCTTTTTGGTTGTTTCAAATGCGTTATTTACAGGTTGATTTTTGATTTTTTGATGGAGCAAAAACTGTTCAATTTGTGGAAAAAAATTCTACCAGTCACTGAATTGAGCAATGGACATTTATTTTTCTCTCTTTTTCTACATTTTTTCTGTTTTTCGTTGCATAATTTATCTAGGACTGCAACCGGATAACAGAAGTATAGTTTTTTTGACGATGGACAACAGAAATACCGTAAACGAGGACAGCAGATCCACTAAACTGTAATTATCACTGCACTGTCCAATAGTTTTACGCTGAGGTGTAAATATATAGGTGAAAGCGAAGTAGCGATCGATGTGTGTCAAAAATCTTGGTCATAATTCCTTTTTTTTTTTTTTTTTGATTACTGCCAAACAAAGAAATCATTTGACAGCTGATCGATCGATCTAAAATTATAAGAGCTTATTCCGACTTCTTATCAGTAATACGTTTTGTTCACGTAGCAGTTGGATATTTTGTTGGATGAGAAGGAAAGTTTATGGGAGAAGAAGAGGGAGAAGGTGTGGAGGGTTGAGCGAGTGGAGGAAGCGAATGAATAAATGAGCCAAACAGAAATTGTTGTTGTTTTCTTTCCACATCGATATCTGACAGTGTTCGTCATCAGCTATGTGGTCATCGCCTTTGAAACAAAAGTGTAATTCGGGCTAATTTTGATACTGCTCGATGAAGAGCTTAAACTTGTTGGTTTTGGCAAAGGTTGTGCTATGCATCCAGTCAAA